CAAATGCTAGTCTTGCTAACTAGCTTGTCCTGGGGAGGATCATCTGTCTCTACCTTCTTTGGTTGAAATTACACGAAGGCCACCATAACCACCCAGTATTTGCATGGGTTCTGGGGATCTGAACTCTGGTCCTCATACTTGCCTGGAAAGTGCTTTAACCACAGTTACCTCCTGAAACCAGCAAACTCCCCCCCACCAGGCTCCCTGAGGAAGTGACATCTACTTCTCTGTATGCCAATGGCTACCACAGTTCCTAGTGCAGAGAAGGCACTCAACTCGATACTATCTGCTGAATGTGGCTGGAGACTGATGATCACGGGAAAAGACCGCCACCTGAAAATCCAGGTCTCTTGGTGACTCTCAGACCTTGCCATATTGCTTGGATGCTGCATCCCAGCTGTTCATCCTTGCCTCCTCCCACCTGCCCAGATGTCTGGCTTTGGAGCCTCTCTCCAAATCTCCTTGGCTTTAGTCTAAAAATGTTACTTCATTCTTTTGGACCTTAGGGAGCCTCTGTGACATGAGGACAATGGCCTGCCTTAACAGTGCCAAGTTCATGGAGAAGTGGAAAGAGTAGCTGGTGCATTTAAAATGTGAGGCCAGGGAATACAGGAGTCAGGAGTCAAACAGATGCCACTGTTCTTGAAGACAGCCACAGGCTTGGTGCCATCTCACCCTTCCTGCTAGATCAGACAGCTTCAGAGAGCCTTTCCTAACCTGGCCTAGGGGTGGGACTAGTGTCTCTCCGGCCACACCTCTCAATTATTTGTCATACAGAATTATAAGGATGGATTAGCAGACTATTAGTCTACTTAAAAGTAGGGGCATGTCTCACATTTCTCTTTTCCACTAATGGAGGCTTAGCACGCAGGAGAACTCCACGATCAAAGGGATGCCAGACCGTCTGAGTGGCCAGCCCAGTGGATTGAGGCTGCTTGTTGCTCTCTCTCTGGCTTCCTGGCTTTCTGAGGACATACTTCCTATAACATGCTCCCTGGCAGTTCCGAATGTCCAAGCTGCCCAAGCAGCAGCTCCTTAGCATGGCACAGGCCAAGGTTTCTACAAGGTGTGGAGTTTAAGAATGCAAAGGAAATTGTTAATGACACTAAAATAAGCAGATCTCTCAAGGTGGAAAAGCAACAACAGAAAACTCCACCCTACAAGCAAACACAGCTGGATCTCTGAACGCTGGGTATCAGTGCAGCTTGGGGAAGCTTTTCCGCCATTTGCAGAAGCCCAGAAAGTGGCTTCTTAAAACTTTACTCCCTAAGTGGGGTGCAGTGGCGCATGCCTATAATCCCAGAGGCAGGCAGAGGCGGCCTGGTCTACAAAGCGAGTCTGGGACAACCAAGGCTACACAGAGAAACCCTGTCTGGGGACAAACAAACAAAAAAAATCCTTGACTCCTCAGAGACTTTTCTCCCACACACTGGGACCTCCTCCACCTCTACACTGACCATGTCCTAACTGGTTTCTACATCTGTGCCTTCCTCCCCAAGCCAAAATATCGTGTTTTCTTCTCTTTCTTTAATTTCAATTTTTTTTTTTTTGGGGGGGGGAGGTGTGTGTTCTGTGCAGCCCTGGCTGTCCTGGAACTCACTCTGTAGATCAGGCTGGCCTCAAACTCAGAGATCCACCTGCCTCTGCCTTCTCAGTGCTGGAATTAATTAAAGACAAACTTGTGTTTTCAAGGTGCCCCAAGATTAGGCTCCTTTTTCTGTTTCCCTTTCTCTTGCGAGGAATGGAAGAGTTCCTCGTGTGGCCAAGTCACAGCAACAACTCCCTCTTTCCTATTTGTCTTTTGGGAACAAAAATAACAGCTTCTCATAAAATGATTCTGAGGGTTAAATGAAATAAAACCCAGAATTCCCAGCACCCAGGTAGACTGGCTTCCCTCCAGGGCCATGGGATCTCAGCACACAAACCATTGCTCAGTCTAACCCTGCCTCAAGGCAGCAGTCACTCCCTGAAAAATGAGGGAATCTCCCTCCCTCAGGGTAAACAGGGAGGAGGATCTGAATTGACTGCCAAGAAAATATGCTTGCCAGTTGGATGAGCAGTGGTCAGGCTGCTCGTGTCTGGGGTACAGGGTAGAGATCTGGGTCTTTCTATAACCACACAAGTAACCTTTTGGCAAACTTGTTTCCTGCTCTGTGCCTCAGTTTCCTTACCTGTAACAGAGGGTGCCATACACACCCACACCAAGACTCACAAAGTACTCAGCTCTCTCCAATCAAACTTCTTTGCATTTTGAAGGAAAAGAAATCTCTCACTTCCAGCCCAGTGGTGCCTAACTGAGAGGCTGCCCATGCTAGTTCTCACTCTCCCCCTCCAAACCTGTAACCCACCTTCCACAGGGAGCCTTCCCAGGTTCAGCCTCAAAACTCCCTCTTCCTTCTAGCAGAGCCTCGGCATTTAAGCAAACTCTTTGAAGACAAAGTCCACAGCTTGGATCTTTATGGCTAGTGCCTGGCACACAGTGCGCATTCCGGAAATACGTATGAGGTCAATCTGCACACACGGTACTAGTTAAAGAGAGCAAAAGAGTCTGTTGAATATCCATTTAAAGAGTTATGAAAATCCCACACTACAGGACAGACCTGTCACAGAAGTTACAGTGGAACTTCATGTCTGCCTTTTTGTTTTAAAAAAAAAAGACGTATTTATTTATTATTTATACAGTATTCTACCTGCATGTATCCCTGCAAGCCAGAAGAGGGCACCAGAGCTCATTATAGATGGTTGTGAGCCTCCATGTGGTTGCTGGGAATAGAACTCAGTATCTTTGGAAGAGCATCCAGTGCCCTTAACCTCCGAGCCATCTCTCCAGTCCCGAGTGTCTGCCTTCTTCTAACCCATGATGGGTACCACAGCTCATTGACTGTCCTAGATCCATCCCAAGTCCTTGCAGAATCCCATCGCACCATGACAAAGGACAGCAGGCTAGGGTAGTACAGTGGTTCAGAGCAAGGACTTCCACTGTTTGGATCTTGGCTCAGCAGTTTACTAAGTTAGGCAAGTAACTCGACTGTCTCGCATCTTGATTTCTTTTTCTCCAAAGATAAAGAAAACATCTGTCTCACCCAGGGGCTGTGAAAAACAGGGGCCCAGAGTGTAAGGTGGCTTAGGTGGTAAAGGTGTTTGCTATCAAGCCTGACAACCAAAGCACCAGTCTTGCTCTGTGCCTCAGTTTCCTTACTGGAAAAGAGGGCACTCTACACACGCCTGGTGGGGCGTTCAGCTTCCAACAATCAAACCGTTTTGCATTTTAAGCAAAAGAAATCTCTCCCTTCCTGCTCAGTAGTCTCTAACTAAGAGACTGCCCATCCCAGGGTTTTTCCTCTCGGTCATTCCAAACCTACAACTCACCTCCCACAGAGAGGAAGGAGAGACGGATTCCTGCAAGTTATCCCCTGTCCTACACACACAAATAATAAATGTGAATTTTTTAAAGCAAACGAGAAAGTCATTAACACAGTGGGTGACTGGACACAAGCATTAAATAAATCAACATTTAGTCAACACTACAGAATATTACATCATGAGTCCTGACCCTTGACCCCGCTACAGTCCACTGCCCAGCACTGCAACCCACTTCCTTTTTCTCTTTATTTGCGTCCAGCCCTGCCTTTTTCTTTAGCAGAGTGCAGTACACCAGGAAAGCTTGGTCAGAGCAGGAACAATTATTTAGGGGGGAGGTGGAAGAAAGGCCAGTGAAAACTTCTCTGGCAAACCATCAAGCCCACAACCTAGGTCACACCTCCCCAGGAGGCCCTTCCCAGCATCCTTTCTCCTGTTTGGCCTCCAGGATAAAGACAGTTGTAATTACACTCACAAAGCTGAGTGAGAGCAGTGGACCCAAGCCTCTGGTTGCATACTCCGATCTGGGCAGCCAAGGCTGCTGCCTTTGCTTAATAAATCCCAGGAAAGGGTTGACTAAATGGTGTGCTTGCCACCAAGCCTGACTACCTAAATTCAACTTCTAGAACCCACATGGTGGCAGGTGAGAACCAACTCCCCAAAGATGTCCTCTGACATCCAGAGGTGCCAGGATGCCCCAAACACAAGAAATACATGTGCTAAGAGTACATCACCTCTCAGTGTTCAGAAGGTGAAATAATGGCCGTCCCGTTAAGTCTGATTTTAAGTCAACAAAAAAAATCACTTTGGGCATCAGTGGGCCCCATGCAGTATTTGGGATAAAGTGATATTGAAGAGCTATTTGAAATTCGGATTTGAGGCAATGGCCCACATTTTATCTGGAAACTCCTCGGGTACCCAAGGGCACGGAGGAAAAGATTAGTCCTTCACCTACCCCACAGCCAGCTGTCCAACTGGTATTCTAACCAGGCTCCTTGGAAACATCTTTCAACACCCAGGCAGAGCAGATGGGCTAAGAAGGAGCCTCTTCCTGAGCGGCTGAGTCCAGCGCCTTGGGGGAGCACCCAGCATTGGGCCACGCCACAGCTAAAGCTCAAAATAGCTCTCCTCATTCATCTGAGCCGGCTCGGGCTCTACTACCAAGCCCAGGTGAGAATGGGAAAGCCGGGTTGTTTTGGGGAGAGAGGCTCCCAAGTAAAGCTCACCTGATGTGGAGGGTCAGGGAGGGCATCACCAACCACCCACTTCATGAGGTTGTGAAGATCAAACAGGGAAAAGGCCAAGTAAATAAATCCCTGGGCATGAGTCAAGATCAAGCCCTTCGGTTGGACAGTTTTTAGCCCAGGGCCTCACAACCTTCACACTGGCCAAGGGAGATGGGCAGAGGTGTAGGGAACACAAGGCCAGCACCTCTGGGATGCTGCCTTAAGACACGGGCGTTGTGATTCGCCACAAACGTTTACATCCAGCTTCCAAAGGGCCCCAACCACAGTTCCACGAGGTGAGGGCGGACTGGGACCATTTCCCGGAGGATGGTGAGTGGCTCGGAAGTGAGATCAGGTTGGGGGTGGGGGTGGGGGTGGGGGTCCCACCGGTGCAGGACTGGGGCCGAGGCCTACCTTCTGGGCCTGCTGGATCATCTGTCTGACCACCTGCTTCAGGTGCGGCGCCTTCTCTTCTTTGGGCGGGTGGGTGAAGAGCGTGACACGGCTCACGCCGCGGTAGAAGCTGGAGTCCGTCCACCCCAGGTCCAGCGGGGGCACTTCGGTGTCCGAGCGGTCTGGCCAGTAGGCGAGGGAGTCGCTGGGCTCGACCAGGGCCTTGGCCTTGGCCTTGGCACGGGTGTTGGAGACGGCCTCCTCGTAGGGAGTCCAGGCGGCGCAGAGGGCCTGGCGCTCTCGGCTGGAGAGGAAGTCCCGCAGCCGCTCCTTCTTGACCCGTTCGCCGTAGGCCTGCTCGCCTCCACCCAGCAGCGCCTCCAGCGCGGCCCGCCGCCCCTCGCAGTAGTAGAAGGCGGCCTGCGCCTGGGTTACCCTCTCGTTCACGTGCGCCTCGTCCAGGCAGCTCAGCTGGGACTCGGCCATGGCGCCCCCAGCCCCGTCCCGGGACCCGGGCTCGGACCCTACCGTCCCCACCGCTGCACCTAGAGCGGCCGAGGGGCGGGGCGCCTCACCTGGCCGCGAGGTCCGCCCCGTCCCGCCCAGCGATCGCCAGCCGGCCAATCGGCGCGGGCCCCGGTGCGGGCGCGGCCGTCGGGCGGAGAGGGACCGCCGCCTCCGGGGCTCGCGGGGACCCGGGAGGCTCCCCTAGCCCGGCTGGGGCCCGCGCCCCCGAGTGGCCGTGAACTTGGGGCCGGGCTGAAGTCGAAGCCACGTGCGGCCTCTGAGCCACGCCCGCCTCCCAGCTGCGACCCTTCTGGGCAAGAAAGGTCGGGGATTTGACCCTTCAGGCATCCAGCACCCGGCGGGTCCAACCTCATCTTCCCGCGGGCAGAGCCCAGAGCACGTGTTCTGGTCCGGACGCCTGCGGGGTTTAACAATCCGGCCCCTTCGGCCCTCAGGATCCGAGTGTGTATATGCTGTTGGACTAGAACCGTGCCGACTGTGTCGAGGGCAGTTGGTGTGGGAAAGCGAAGATGCTAATGAAATCCCTCGTTCTTCCGCCCACGCGCCCCAGTTCTGAGCTCAGAGGCCTCCAGGGGCTGTCAGTTCAACACCGTCACTACAAAATGTTTTCCCCTAAAAGAACCACCCAAACAGAAAAGATGTAAGCAGGCGGCAGTGAATTTGCCCCTCATTTTAATTTGAAGTGTTGTGTGCCTGTGTTTGGGCCTGATAGGCTGCCAGAGGCCTGATTACTATATTAGCGATTCAAAATATATGTTTGAGCTCAAGGAAGGAAGCTGAGCACAGACACGCACACACCACCACCAGAGGATCTGCTGTTTCCCATTGGATTAAATACAATCTTCTTAGTCATTAACATATTATTTTGTTCGTGTGCTGCTGTACAATTTTGATTCTCCACATTCAAAATATTTTCAGATCATAGCAACCAAAGGTTCGCATTTCTCTCGTTTTGTAGCACAGCGACTTGGAGCTGGAAGGAGCTTTAGAAATAAGTCCAACCCCCTCATTTCCCAAACGAGGAAATTGAGGCCTAGAAATAAATGCTTTTCTGAAGCTCCGGAGAAAAGAGAGGCTCAGCCGGGGAACCACTAGGCTCTCTGCGGTGTAGGAGGTCCTTCCCCTACATGTGGCCTCTTGTGAAGAAACACAGGTTATTGGGAGACCTTTGTCTTACCCTGGGGTGTGCGACCATTTCTAAGACTCTCTCTCCTCGCCTCCTTCCCTCCTTCCTTCCTGTATCTGCCTCTTTTTCTCTCCCTTTCTCCATCTCTCCCTCCCTTCTTCCTTCTCCCTCTCCCTCCTCTGTGTTTGGGATAAAACTGAGGACTTTGGCAGACTAGGCAAGCTCCTACATTGATCCACAGCCCCATCGACGGTCTGGAGTGATTAGATTGTCTGCAGGGATTGGAGAGGTGGTTAAGAGCACTGGCTACATGCCCAGGGGACCTGGGTTTAATTTCCAGCACCTACATGGTGGCTGGCACCAGTCCCAGGATATCTGACATCCTCTTCTGTCCTCTGCAGGCCCCTGGCATGCATGTGGTGCACAGACATGAATACAGGCAAAACATCCATACACATAAAATAAAAAATAGATGGCAGAGATTGTGATGATAGTCACTGCTGGCATCATAGGTCAGCCCAAAGACTGGGGATGAAGAGCCGCAAGGGTTCCTGTCACCTCACGTGTTCTTCTCCACTCTTGAAAATCAGAAGGCTTCACTCCTGGTAACACCACATTCTAAACATACTACAGGCACAGCCTACCTCCAGTTGGGAGAGCATTTGCTTGATTTGGGGTACCCTGTGAGGTGCCAGGCCCTCTAACAGATACTCAAGGACAATACAGCTGAGGAGGACAATGTGAGTGTGTAACAAACGTGCTTTAATAAAGGCAGTCAAGCCAGACGCCATACCCTGTCACCCCAGCACTGGAGAAGTTGAGGTAGGAGGACGGTGAAGCTAGAAGCCAGCCTGGACAACCTAGTAAAACCATGTTTCAAAAAACGAATCACCACTACAACGAAAGGCAATCATATGCTTAGAGGAGAAACTGATTCAGTGAACGCGGTTCTTACTATGCGCCTCGCACAGTTCATGCTCATTTTACTTTCTTAGGACAGAGTCTCAGCTCAGGGCCTCAAGCACAAGAAGAGGAGACTTGCCTTAAATGGGAGATCCTCCTGCCTCTACCTCCCAAATACTAGGATTACAGGCATATGTCAGCATGCCAAGCTCAGTGTATTATTTCTGAAGAGAATGAACCAGAGATCTGGGCACTGTGGCTCATGTCTGTATTCTCAGCACTTGGGAGACAGAGGCAGGAAGATTGCTATGAATTGAAGGCAAATCCTGTTACTTTCCTATTGCTGGGATAAAACACCATGACCATGACAACTTATAGAAGAGTTTATTTGGACTCGTGGTGCCAGAGGGTTAGCGTGCATGATGGCATGAGAGCAGGGGCGGGAAGCTGAGGGCCTGTCTTTCACTGAAAACATGAAACAGAAAGCAAGCTGGAAGTGGTGCCAGTCTTTAAACTTTCAAAGCTTGCCTGCCCCTAGTGACACTCTTCCTCCAGCCAGGCCACACCTTCCAAGCCTCCCCAAACAGCACCACCAACTGGGGACCAAGTCTTCAAATGCCCAAGACTAAGGGGAAAGATCTCATTCTAACCAGCACAGGGAGCCTTGCTGGAGGAAGTGCATTACTGGGGATGGGCTCTGAGGTGTCCCTATCACAATGGACTCTGAGCCTTCTGGTAAGCCCAAATAAACTCTTTCTTCTATAAATTGCCTTTGTCGTGGCATTTCATAGACAAAACACAACAGACAAACAAACAAGCAAAAAAACCCAGAAAAATCACAAATACAAAAGTTGGTCCTAAGAGTGGGCTGTTGATGTCGAGAGCCTGGCCGTGTTGAGTTCTGGAGATGTATGGAAGGCCTTGGAGCTTTGGACAAGAAAAGCAGTTGAATGCTGTAAGCAGAGCATTAAGCCTGTTCTAGTGGGAGCCTGGAAGACAGCAGGGCTGATAGTAATAAGGACGGTAGAGGCCCCCGCTCAAGCCGCTGTACTTGGGAACAATATTAGCAATGAGCTACAGGTCATTTATATAATATTTTGACAGAACATCTAGCTACCTTCTGCCTGTGTCATAAGAACTTGCCTGAACCTAAATTTTAAAGTAATGGGCTAATTTACTTGTCAGGGGAAACTTCTTTAGAATGTTTTTAAAAATTATTTTATTACTACTTTGTGTGTATGGCTGTCTTGTCTGCATCTCTGTTTGCGTGCTTTGCGTACGCAGTGCCCTTGGAGGCCAGGAGAAGATAACTGGGTACCTGTGACTGGAGTTATAGACAGTTGTGAGCTGCCGTGTGGGAGTTAGGGTCACACCTCTGGAAGAGCAATCAGTGCTCCTAACCACTGGGTCATCCCTCCAGCACTAGGAAGCTTAGCGTTACAGCCGAGGGACACGTTGGAAGCGTGGCCTGCACGGGGATAACACGGTACTGTTGCTGACCTTGCTAGGCAATAAACCCATCTGGTGTAATGAGTGCTTTGACCGGCACACAGTGATTTATAGCGATGCCCCGAGACTTTAGGGCACCCAACAAGCACCTGGGCGAAAGTGTCTCGCTAAAATATGGGTTTAGATTCAGTAGGTCTTAGGTGAGGCCAGAGGCTCTGCATTTCTGAGAAGTCCCAGAACTGACTGACTGACTGACTGACTGACTGACTGACTGACAGGTGGCGTTTTATTGTGGTTATAGCATTTCAGGGGCGGGTGAATAAGAACATGAATGAAATCCAGCTTTCCTGATAGCCTCTGTGTGTCCCTGGGAAAGCCGGTTCTCCCTGCTGAGCCTCGGTCTCCTGATCAGTTAAACACGGGCAAAGAAGATGTCCTGGCTCGAAGGATTCTAGAGAAGGCAAGGAAGTCGGTGGAAATGCGGTGCTCTGCGGAAGGTCTGGTATGCCGAAGCTGGTCAAGGAAGTCAGTTTGAGAGCATGGGAAGAGGAGACTAGAAAGAGAGGAACACGGGGCCCACGTGGTAGAGACGACAGTGCTATTAGACACCACGCTAAGTGTTTGATGTTTACTTCAAATGAACTGCAGATCCTGTTGGAAAAAAAAAATCCTCATTTTCCACGTTAGTTAACGAAACACAGAGAAGTTTAGAGCTCACTTCAGCTCACCCACTTGGAGAGGAGGAGAGCCAGAATTCAAACCCAGACTGGTCGGCTTCAAAGCCTGACCACCTCCTCATGTTGCTATGCTGCCTTAGTTGAAGATATGAGAAAAGGAGAGTAGAAAAAGTGTTTGCCTTGTTTGGCAATTTACCCATTTAGTAGACACTTGTAAACAAGGGCTTCGCTTTGTGCTTAGAGTTAGAAAGAAGCCATTCAGCCACTTACCAGCTCCCTCTTTTTTTTTTTTAAAAAAAAAAGCTTTTTATTGATATTATTTGTGAATTTCACATCCTGCACCCCGGTCCCACTCATCTCCCGTCCCTCCATATCTGCCTTCTGCCCTTGCAACCTCCCCTACTGCCCCCCCCCCCCCCCCCTCGAAAGAAGAAAAAAAAGATTAAAAAAAAATTAAAAATCTGGTCATAGAAGCTGTAGTGTGTCACATGTGACACACAGTGCACCCTTTTGTCCATACAGCCTTTCTCGCAAATGCGCATTGCTATGAGTCACTGGCCTAGTTCGAGGCCTTTGGCTCCCGCTACACGGTCAATACTGGATCCTCACCAGGACTCTTTTATGGGATCCCTGTGTCATGGAGATCCTGCCGCTTTGGATCTGCAGGGCTGGCCCCTTCACGTGTGCTAGCCGTTCCCATACGGGGTCAGTGTTGGTGTGGGCCAATTCAAAGCCCTAGTCCTGGGCCTGGTTGGTGGCTGAGGTGGTCAGCCCCAGAGCTCTCCAACTCTTTCCTGAGCCTTAGTGAGCTGCAGGCTGTGTTCCACCCGGGAAGTCAGCTGTGCACCAAAACAAGCTCACCCGGGGCTTACATTGAGGTAGACGGATTAAAACGTGTCCCTCCACCACCACCGCCCACCCAAGAGGCTCAGATGGTTTGTGACAGGACTTGAGCTTGGACACAAGGTTAGGCTATTTTAGAAACAGCTCACCTTGGAAAAGATCTTTTTGCATCTGACGGGAAACACACTGGTGATTCAGTAACACTCACTTTTACACCCCGAAGACATACTTACTCAGTCTACATTTTCTTTTTGCTTTGTTTTTCTGAGACAGGGTTTCTCTGTGTATCCTTGGCTGTCCTGAACTCACTTTGTAGACCAGTCTGGCCTTGAACTCAGAGATCCTCCTGCTTCTGCCTCCCCAGATGCTGGGATTATAGGCATAAGCCACCATGCCCAGCTTCAGGCTATATTTTTGAGCGGTTAATAAGTACTAGGCAATATGCTTGCCACTGGGAATTAAAAAGAAGAATGGGGCATCATAGGTGGCTGCTCTGGTGCCACCTCTTGTTCCGATGGATGCCAGCTATTCACTATATCAAAGATCTGGCATTGTAGCTCAGCAGTAGATCGCTTGCTTATTGTTTGTGAGGACCCGAGTTCTACCCCCAGCACTGATCTTCTGAGGCTGTGGCTGGGGTGGGGGGCAGAATGTACAATGATGTAATGCACCTGGCCCCCTCTCCCTGAATCTGTCAAAGTCAGTTCTGAATGGGGTTTGTAGTGAGATGTTACAGGTGGACAAA